CGGGTTGGGGGCACAAGGGTGCTTTACTCGCCAGCCGTGACTTGCAGGTTTGGTCCAGTTTGAAATTTCTGCCTTTCCAGACAAGCTAATTTTTATATTTATCCCTGCAAAGGGGCAGTGAACCTACAGCCTGGTTTGCACATGGGCCTCTGGCAGGGATTGCAAGCGCTTGAATGACTCGAGCCATTAGATGTTTCCAAAAGGAGTGTCCCTCTGCCTTTGCCTGTTCCCAGAGCACCGCTGTGCGAGGCTGGTTTCTCAGGGCGGGTTAGGAGTCAGTGGGAGCAGTGTGAGGAGAGGGGAGAGGGCAGCGGCTGCAGCTCTGAGCTGCAGTGAGGCAGTGGTGTGGGGCACTGCTGCTTTCTGAGTGCTCTGGCTTTCACCAGCGGCTGGGAGTTCCCTGCAGTTCCTCGGCGTGCCCGAGGAGGGGTGGGATACAGGCGTGGACACTGGAGCACAGCAAGTGCGTCCAGCTGAGTCCACCCGCCCTCCTCTGCCGCGGAGCCGCGTCCCCCGGGGACTCCCCAGGCAGGCCTGCTCTCCTCCAGCTCGTGATCTCATGCTCTGTTCTTTGGCAGCCCTCTGCACGCTGCAGCAATAAAAGAAAATGTGTTTTTTGGAAGCCCTTGGCAGAGACCTTGGCAAAGAAACGTCCAAAACATTGACTGGAGAGATCTGTTGTCATCTCTGCCGTAAACATGTCTAGTAAGGCAAATTAATGCCGGGCAGGGGCTTGTAAAAACGTAAATTCATCCCCTTCCCAAACTCTTGCAGCCTGGTGATCTGCACCTTTGGGTCACAGCTGGCCACACAGCTTCAGTGCCACAGTCACAAGCAGTTCTCTTGAAACCCCCAAACAACCAGCACACGCACAGAACACCTCCAGGAGATGCCCCCACGGTGTGTGGGCTGGGGGAGGCTGCCCTGGCTGTCCTGTGCCCAGCTGACCCCCGCTGCCAGAGGCCTCACAGATGCAGCAGCGGGGATGGCTGGGGTGGCGGGGACAGTCCAGGTTTGCAGTCTCAGCCCTGGGGTCTGGCTGGTTGAGAGGTCTCCTGGGTGTCTCTTCAGAGCTCCTGCAAAGCCGTGGAGATGTCACGGCCCCGTTACAAAGGGACTCGGCTGCAGTCAGCTCATGTCCCTTCACTGAGGGGCACGAGCAGACAGGGCCAGAGCTCAGCACTGCAGTAAAGCTGCTCCAGATGTGCTGTTAACGTTCCCTGCCTACAGGGTATTTTGTGTAAAGCTGTTTGGACCATGAATGCTCTGAACAGTCGGTAGTGTTGATTGGTCCTAGTGAAAATTAGGGGCCTGGCTGTCTCGGGTAACAGACGGGCATGGTCCTGGCCTGCAGGGCCCAGGGGCTGCCAGGGCAGTTTGCCCACAGCAGCGTTCCTGCTCTGCAGAGGCTCATTGCTTGTGCTGAGATGTCCCACACTCGTTTGCCATGAGGCCTAGAACGTTTTGTGGCTGAGGAGGGGCAGCCTGGCTCACGAAGCCTTCGGCCTCTCCT